GACGAGCTTCATGAAGCATCGCCACCCCGGAGAGAAGTGGCGCTCGTCCCAGCGTTGGACAAAGCGGTTCCGCAAGTGCTGGTCCTTGGCGAGGCGTGTGAAGACGAAGATCGGCCAGAAGCTTGCTGCAGGTAAGAGATTTCACGCACTCTGATCGCTCTCTTTTGAAAAATTGCAGCCACTGACTCGTTCTTTACCGTTGTGCCGCAGATTGCGCAAAGAAGTGCGAAGCCTTCTAGGAATTCGTGCGGCAAATGCGCGTGCTGAACTCCTACCCCCTCAATCTCATCGTGAACTCGGATCAAATGCCTCTGTTCCTCGAGATGCCAGCTGAGCGCACCCTCGAGATGAAAGGCGCGCGTACCGTACACGTGCGCACCGCGGGGTACGAGAAGGAGTGCCTCACCGTCATGCTGGCGGTGACGGCGGGCGGCTTGAAGCTCCCTCCGTACGTCGTCTTCAAACGGAAGACTCTGCCAAAGATCGCCGTGCCTCGCGGTGAGATGCTTGTGTGGCTGCTTTGTGGTTGTTTGTTAACGAAAGCCACTGCTAAAGTTTCTTTTCAATTCGTGCAGGTGTTGTCATCCGAGTCCAGGATAAAGGCCGGATGGACGAGAAACTCGTCCAGGACTGGACAACGCAAGTGCTCGTCCCATTCCTAAAGCCGTTGCGCGCAGAGGAAGGACGGCGCAAGGATGCGCTCCTCGTCCTCGACTCGTACCGAGGCCACATCACCGAAGCCGTCGGCCAAACGATGAAGCTGTTCAAGCTCACACGCCCGGTGATCCCTGTCGGTTGCACCTCACTGGTGTAACCGCTGGACGTTTCGGTAAACCGCAGCTTCAAAGCCGGGGTGCGCCACCGCTACTCCACGTGGTTCGAGGATGAGGGGATTGGTTTTACCACCCCGGCAGGTGAGTTTATTGCTTGCATTCGGTCTGCTCCCTGCTTGAATTCTTCCTCTTTTGACTCACTACTTCCCCTACACGTGCCTGAACCCGCAGGGAACTTGAAGAAACCACCAGCGGAGAAGGTGCTCCGCTGGATTGCCGAGTCATGGGCCGACGTCCCAGAGGAACTGGTGAGGAAAGCATTCCTCACCTGCGGCATCTCCAACGCTGTTGACGGAGCGACGATCATCTGAGCGGAGGTGGAGGTGATGGAGGATGTGTGGGAGGAGGAGCTGGACAAGCTCGTTCCCAACCCCTTTTACCCTGACCCTGCTGCCGCTGCTGACAGGGACTGCGATGCCGACCTCATGGCGGAAGCTGGAGAGGGGGGGGGGGGGAGGGAGGAGGACTCCGAGGAGGACGATGAGGAGGATGAGGAGGAGGAGGGTGAGGAGGAGGACGAGGGTGGAGCTGCAGAGGAGGAGGGAGGTGGACAGGGAGGGAAGGATGATGACAAGTGGTGGGCAGAAGGGCGATATGACGGGGAGGTAGAGGAATAGGTTGCTGGAGAGGATGATGAGTAGATGTGCCTGTGCTTTTGTGACTGGCTGTTAACTCTCCTTAATGAACATGTTTGGACTTTGTTGTGGAAAGCGGTAGAAAAACTATCAGAATTTCATTCCTTGGCTATAAAATGACACGGCCTCTAGGGGGAGGGGGGTCTTATAATGTTAGCCCCCATTTAGGGGGGTATAACTACAAACGACCTATTTAATGTACCCCCCTCCGTATTATAGACCCGGGGGTCCACAACTAAGGGGGGGGGGGGGGGGGTCTTTTATCCGGGGTATTACGGTTTCTTCTTTTTTCTTGTTTGTTGAAACTAAATTTGAGTTGTGTACGTGAAGGGCGAAGTCATGTCGTGGACTTACAGTCCATGTTTCATGGCTCTGGAAAGCCGTTTGCTTTTGCTGAATTGCCTGATAGCCCCTTGCCTTGGAGGCTGGACTAGTAGTGCCGGCCTGCGTTGCTTCTCGTCTTCTAGGCACTTCCCCTTACCTAGCCTAAGGGGTGTGTCAAAGTACTCTAATACATTTATAGGTGTACATTGTATTGTCAAATGTTATAATGTCTTGTTAAACTACAGTGAGTAGCATTGTAGGGAGTACAACATATTCCTGGGGTTGCTATTTGTACTGCTTGAAACCCTAATGCACTCATTCCGCTGTTCAACTTCTAATATGGTATCATTAGTAGGTACGCTCCTAGCCTAGCCTAGCCCGCCCGTGCTCCGTTGCCTAGCCTAGTACCGCTCCGTCACTCCGTGGTAGCCTACCCTAAGTAGCGCGCGCCACCCTGCAATCCAGAGCGCGCACCCCAGCCAAAGCGTGCGCCCCTAGCCAGAACGCGCGCCCTAGCCAGAAACGCACGCCCCAGCCAGGAACGCGCGCCCCAGCCAGACCGCGCGCCCCAGCCAGAGCGCGCGCCCCTAGCCAGAACGCGCGCCCTGGCCAGAAACTCGTGCCCCATCCAGGAACGCGCGCCCCAGCCAGAACGCGCGCCCCAGCCAGAGCGCGCGCCCCTAGCCAGCACGCGCGGCCCAGCCAGGAACGCGCGCCCCAGCGAAGGAACGCGCGCCCCAGCCAGAACGCGCGCCCCTAGCCAGCACGCGCGCCCCAGCCTGAAACGCGCGCCCCAGCCAAGAACGCGCGCCCCAGCCAGAACGCCCGCCCCAGCCAGAGCGCGCGCCCCTAGCCAGTACGCGCACCCTGGCAAGAAATGCGCGCCCTAGCCAGGAACGCGCACACCAGCCAGAAACGCGCCCCACAGCCCCTCATACCCGCCCCACAGCCCCTCATACCCGCCCCACAGCCCCTCATATCCGACCCACAGCCCGTTCTAGCCGCCCACCACCGCCTAATCCCGCCCATTTTCGCCTACTGCCGCCCATAGCCGCCCTCAGTACGCCTTGCGGTTTGCTCCGCCCTTGCAGCCACCAGCTGCAGGCCGCCGGTCCCGCCCCTAGCCACTAGTAGCACTACCTGTGACCCACCCATGCCCACAGTCTTGTGCTCGTCTTCACTGGCACCTCTAGCAGCGGCTGGCAGCCGCTGTTACTTTTCCTGACGTAGCTTCGGTTTTGTGGCCCCAGTGGCGTTCCTAGCCGGCCTTGTCTACCCGACCGTTCCTAGGCTGATGTTTCTTCGTAGGTAATTACTTGTCTTCCTCCAGCCGCTTCTAGCTCCAATCGTTACTCTCTCCAGCCACTCCTCGCTCCAGCCGCTCATAGCGCCCGTAGTTCCTAGCCTGGCGTTTCTAGCTCCAGCCGTGTCTCACACCAACCGTTCCTCGTTCCAGCTGCTCCTATCTCCAACTGCTCTTCCCTCCAGCTGTTACCAGCTCTTGCCGTGTCTCGTTGCAGCCAATCATAGCTCCAGCCGCTCCTAGCTCCAGTCGCTCCTGGCTCATGTCGCTCCTAGCTCCAGTTGCTCCTAGCTCCAGTCGCTCCTGGCTCCAGTCGCTCCTGGCTCCAGTCGCTCCTGGCTCCAGTCGCTCCTGGCTCCAGTCGCTCCTGGCTCCAGTCGCTCCTAACTCCGGTCGCTCCTGGCTCAGGCCGTTTCTAGCTCCAGCTACTCCTAGCCTGCCGCTCCTACACCCAGCTAGCCTTTACCATGGCGTCCACTAGAGTTCTCAAGCAGCAGGGACAGCAGCAGCGGCAGTTTCAGCAGTGGGAACCTCAGCAGCGGCAGTTTCAGCAGTGGGAACCTCAGCAGCAGTGGCGCCCTCAGGAGCAGTGGCGCCCTCACCAGCAATGGCGCCCTCAGCAGCAGTGGGGGCCTGGTGGTTCGGGTAGGTTGGCTGCAGCAGCGGCCCAGCCAGCTGGGGGACTCGTCGCGGTGGCCGCGACGTCGGCCCCTTCCAGTACCGGATCCACTGGAGGGCAGAGTGAAGCACATCGACGTTAGGTACTTTCTCCTATGAGAGTTGCAGCGACGCGGCCAGGCTCGCTTGGACTTCGTGGCGTCAGCGGCCAACACAGCAGACATTTTCACCAAGGCCCTAGCGCCTAGTGACCACCACATGTTCTGTCTGCAGTTAGGCTTTGTTGACGCTGGTGCTCGGTTGCTGTAGCCTTGTTGTTTGCTCTGCTTGTTTTGCTTTTATATATACTTGTGAACTCTTGAACTGGCCTTGTGGCCTCTTGTTTGTGCTCGGACTGCGTGGTGATTCTGAGCGCCACCCTGAGCCTTGTTTTTTGCTGCTTGTTCTTGACTGGTATTGTGACCGTTGTTTCCCTTGCTTGTTTTGATGCCCCTCACTTAGCCTATGGCGGTATGTCAAATGTTATAATGTCTTGTTAGGCTACAGTGAGTAGCATTGTAGAGAGTACAGCATTTTCCTAGGGTTGCTTTTTGTACTGCTTGAGTTATGCTAGGTTGGGTTGTACTGTAGAGGGTATGGGTTGCTACTTGTACTCCCCCTGTATGCTCATTCTATACATTCATTCCTCTCGTTAACAGTGTAAGCAATACAGTTTTGAGTGCCATGGGCAATGGGCAGTCTTATGAAGCTGATGTCGATCATGACTTGGTGCAGGTGCTGCCGCTAGAGACATTGTTTTTGCTTGATCCCAACACATGCCATATACGGTTTTTTTTACCATTCTCTCATAAAGACCTTGCGATATTACCCTGTGCAATAATAAAACAGTCACTGGCCAGCCTTTGGTATCAGGTGGGTAGGAGTGTTTGCCCTTGGGTGCGCTTCGCTGGTGAATCTAGGGTGAATGGAGTTATCTTGCAAAGGTGTCCATGGGGATAATTTTGCAAAGTCGAATTTGAGATGTATTGCTAAAGACACCGCAATGGCATGCCATGGTACATAAACATATTTTCTGCACCTATTTCGCCTGCTGGCATTGCGGAGGAGGGGGAGCGGGATGTGATGTCACCTTGACGCATGCACTACCAGGTCATCACACCTTGACGCATGCACTACCGGGTCATCACACCTTGACCCATGCACTACTGGACAAGAGACAAGCCCTGGTATGACCAACCTACTGTACCATACCGTGCCTTGCTTCGTAGTCCTACCCTACACAAACTACTATCCTTGTTCTCTATTGCCGGCCCTGCCCTCCCTAACACCACGCCCTTCCCCACCTGCAACCCCTGCATCCCCCTCCTCCTCCTCCTCCGCCCAGCCTGCCCTCTGCTGCTCCTCGCTCCGCTGCCGCTTCTTCTGCTGCTGCCGCCCTTGCTCCCAAGCAGCCACAGCCTCACCAATAACTCTCCTATACTCCCCCACAGGCACATGCACATCCTGGTTCACCCAGAAGCTGAAAAACACATCTGAGGCGCGCTGCACGTCCGGCCCTTGCTGCAGGAACTGCTCTCTCTCCTCCGCCGTCCCCACCTTGCTCCCATGATCCTCCGCCAAGTGCCAGTGAAACACACTGTCGCTCCGGTTCGTCACCCGGACCTCCATGTACGAACCTCCGGCCTGCCGAACCTGCGGCTCGTAGAAGCGGTCGGCACCGGTGGTGTTGTACGGTACGATCTGAATGAGTACGCTGCCGGGGTGCAGGAACATGGAGTTCAGGAGCCCAGACCCATGCACTCCCACGAGGATGGCGCAGGAACGGACGGCCCGGATCTGCTCGTAGAGCGGGAGATCTTCGAGTACGGCGATGGAGATGGGCAGGCCCATGGCACGCGTGGCGGCTACTAATGAGTCCTCGTTCAGGAGGAGACGGCGCCGCCGCCGCGCCACCAGGAGAACCTGAAACAGTGGAAGGGGGAGCCGGAAGAGGGGAGAGGGGGAAGGTGTCGGATGACGGGGAGGGCGTGGTTTGGCAGCAGAAGAGGGCAGGGAAACAGAGGTGAGTGTGGGTGGGTGCTGCTGAGGAGTATGAGTTCAGGAGAAGGTGGCGCTGCCATCTCACCACTAGGAGAACCTGAATGGTGGTGGGGGTGGCGAGGAAGGGAACGGGGGAAGGGGAGAGGAGAAGGGGGAAGGGGAAAAGGAGAGGGGTAGAGGGGGAGAGGGGGGGACGAGGAGAGGTGAAAAGGAGAAGAGGGAAGAGAAGAAAAAGGGAAGTGGAGGAGAGTACAAGGGAGAAGGGCAGGGGAAGTCGGAAAAGGCGCAAATCAAAACGGCCTGTGCCTGTGCCTGTGCATGTGCCCGTGCCCGTGCCCATGCCTGTGCCTGTGCCCGTGCCTGCAACCTGTGGGAGCATGGATCCCCCATGCCATCCCACCTCCCACCACCACACGTGCCTGTGGCTTGGACGGTGCCGGGATGTGCGAGAGATTGAGGCGGTCAACGATGAAGTGCGGTGCAGTGCGGTCGATGAGGCGGGCAGCAGCGGAGGCCATAGCAGAGGGGTGGTCCATGTTGAATCGCAGCTGCTCCTCCTTTGTCTCCTCCACCAGACACGTGCCCTCCTGCATGTCCTCTAGCGACCGCCAGCACGACTGCACGGGTGGGGGAGGGGGGAGGCAGAAAACAAGGAAACCCGTTGGTCTCCTCCACCAGACATGTAGCCTCCTGCATGTCCTCTAATGTCCGCCAGCGCGACTGCAGGGGTGGGGGAAAGGGAGCAGCAGAAGGGGGGAGGCAGAGGATGAGGGTAAGGGCGGAGAGGGGGCGCAGAGCGGGCAGTGACCTGCGCCGTTTCAATTTCCTCCTTTGTCTCCTCCACCAGACACGTGCCCTCCTGCATGTCCTCCTGCGACCGCCAGCATGACTGCAGGAGTGGGGGAGGGTGGGAGGGAGAGAAGGAGGACACAGGAGAGGAAGAGTGGGCGGTAAGATGCGGCGGTTTGCAGTCCGTTGGTCTCCTCCACCAGACACGTGCCCTCCTCCATGTCCTCCTGCGACCGCCAGCATGACTGCACGGGTGGGAGAGGCCAGGAGAGATGCGGGGCGGCAGAGGATAGGGGTAATACGCGGCAGTTAGCAGTCCGTTTGTCTCCTCCACCAGACACGTGCCCTCCTGCATGTCCTCCAGCGACCGCCAGCACGACTGCACGGTGGGGGAGAGGGAGAAATGGGTAAAGGGGGAGAGGGAGAGCGGGGGTTGAGTGGGGAGAGTGTGGGGAGAGGGAGGAGAGGGAGGAGAGGGGGAGAGTGGGGGAGTGGGAGAAAGGAGATGTGTAGAGAAATCAAGGGGAGAGCGAAGTAGAGAGAGGGCTTGGCTGGGAGGAAAAGCGGCGAGAAAGAGAGCTTGCCTGGGAGAGGAGGCCGAGGAAAGGCAGGTGGCGAGTGGAGGTGCTGCGCGTGAGAATGAAGTGCGTGCGCATGTCCCTGCACCCGGTGGGGATGGACGAGGGGTGGTGAGGGACGAGGGGGAGGGACGAGGGGGAGGGACGAGGGGGAGGGACGAGGGGGAGGGACGAGGGGGAGGGACGAGGGGGAGATAAGGGGTGGAGTGAGAACGGGGAAGGAGGAGATGGGGAGGAGGAGATGGGGAGGAGGAGATGTGAGGGGAGGAGGGAGGGGGAAGAGAACGAGAAAGGGATGGCAGTGGAAGGAGTGGATGAACGGGAAGGGGGAGAAGATGGGGAGCAAACAAAGGGCGCTAATGGACCACTGCTGCACTAGCCAGCACGTGGCAGGCAGCACGTGGCAGGCAGCACGTGGCAGGCAGCACGTGGCAGGCAGCACAAGAGCATGCGCATACTACCACCCCCATCACCAGCATACCCGTGACCAACACAAGGATATACCTGAGGCGGGCATAGGGCATGTCTGCTAGCAGCGGCACAAAGTTCTCAAGCAGCCAGTGCCAGTACATCTCCTCGTAGTCCAGAGTCAGGAACTGCACACAGGGAGAGGGGGACAAGGGGGAGCGGGAGCGGAGGGGGAGGAGAGGGAATGACTTTTGAGTTTCAGGATCCTCGCATGTAGTTTCTAGTCCCGCGGTTCTGAGGCGCCTCAAGCAGCCAGTGCCAGTACATCTTCTTGTCGTCCAGAGTCAGGAACTGCACGCAGCGAGCGAGTAGGGGCGGAGGGGGAGGAAGAGGAAACGACTATTGAGTCTGAAGCGCCTCATGCGTCGTTTCTTGTCCCGCGGTTAAGAGCCGCCTTGAGCAGCCAGTGCCAGTACATCTTCTTGTAGTCTAGAGTCAGGAACTGCACGCAGCGAGACAGGGGGAAAAGGAAGCGAGTGCTGAGGTTGAGCCGCCTCACACATCGTTCCTTGTCTCGCGGCTCCGAAGGGCCTCGCAAGCGGCACGAAACTATGAAGCCACCAGTGATGTATACACATATATACATATATACATATGTACATATACACATATGTACATATACACATATGTACATATATATACTGATGTACATCTCACATAGACACATCGAGCACAGATGGATGGGCATCACGCAGCAGGCAAGAAAGCAGCAGTGACCGGCAAGAAAGCAGCAGTGACCGGCAAGAAAGCAGCAGTGACCGGCAAGAAAGCAGCAGTGACCGGCAATAAAGCAGCAGTGACCGGCAAGAAAGCAGCAGTGACCGGCAAGAAAGCAGCAGTGACCGGCAAGAAAGCAGCAGTGACCGGCAAGAAAGCAGCAGTGACCGGCAAGAAAGCAGCAGTGGCCGGCAAGAAAGCAGCAGTGACCTGGAAGTGACCGGGGATGATGATCTTGCACGAAGTGTCTGCGCTCCCATTGCTGCTCGTGCTGCTGCTGCTGCTCTCCGCCTCAGTAGCAGCAGCAGCAGCAGCAGCAGCAGCCACCGCAGCGGCCGCCGCCACCGCAGCATTGGCAGGTGGTGGTTTTTGCTTGGCGGGTGAATGGTGCTCCATCTCCCCTCCTGCCGCCACTCGCACATATTTAGCTGCATCCCTGCTCGTGGCATGAGGGCGACGTGGAGGAGGAGGAGGAGCAAACGCAGGAAGAAATGAGGAAGCGTTTGGGAGTGGGTGGGTAGAGGAGTGGTGAATTGAGAAGGGAGAGGGGAGAGGGGAGAGGGGAGAGGGGAGAGGGGAGAGGGGAGAGGGGAGAGGGGAGAGGGGAGAGGGGAGAGGGGAGAGGGGAGAGGGGAGAGGGGAGAGGGGAGAGGGGAGAGGGGAGAGGGGAGAGGGGAGAGGGGAGAGGGGAGAGGGGAGAGGGGAGAGGGGAGAGGGGAGAGGGGAGAGGGGAGAGGGAGAGGGGAGAGGGGAGAGGGGAGAGGGGAGAGGGGAGAGGGGAGAGGGGAGAGGGGAGAGGGGAGAGGGGAGAGGGGAGAGGGGAGAGGGAGAGGGGAGAGGGGAGAGGGGAGAGGGGAGAGGGGAGAGGGGAGAGGGGAGAGGGGAGAGGAAAGAGGGGAGAGGGGAGAGGGGAGAGCAGCAGCAGCAACAGCAGCAGCATTTGCAGCAGCAGCGCAGCGAAGCACCTGAGGATGCGGTCTTGGTAGGGAGTGAGGTCGCGGTGGTGCAGGTGGGGCGAGCAGGCAGCAGCCATGGGTGATGCTCTATCCACGCACACGTCTGTGCTGCCGCACCACGCACAGAAGCCGTCCCACAGGCAGTCGGATTGCAAGGCGTGCACGGCACATGGGTCTGATAGAACCCCGCACGCACTGGTGGGATGGAAGGGGTGCAGGAGGGAGGTGCGGGCAGCGGGGAAGGGAGTGGGGGAGAGGTAGAAACGAAGCCTTTTGAGACGCGTCATGAGGAGAGCACCGCACATGGGTCTGATAGTACCCCGCACACGTTGGTACGATGAGAGAGGGGGGGATGGGAGGGGAGGGGAGGGGAGGGGAGGGGAGGGGAGGGGAGGGGAGGGGAAAGGAGGGGAGGGGAGGGGAGGGGACGGGGAGGGGAGGGGAGGGGAGGGGAGGGGAGGGGAGGGGAGGGGAGGGGAAAGGAGGGGAGGGGAGGGGAGGGGACGGGGAGGGGAGGGGAGGGGAGGGGAGGGGAGGGGAGGGGAGGGGAGGGGAGGGGAGGGGAGGGGAGGGGAGGGGATGGGAGGGGAGGGGAGGGGAGGGGAGGGAGGGGAGGGGAGGGGAGGGGAGGGGAGGGGAGGGGAGGGGAGGGGACGGGGAGGGGACGGGAGGGGAGGGGAGGGGAGGGGAGGGGAGGGGAGGGGAGGGGAGGGGAGGGGAGGGGGAGGGGAGGGGAGGGGAGGGAGGGGAGGGGAGGGGAGGGGAGGGACGGGAGGGGACGGGAGGGACGGGAGGGGAGGGAGGGGAGGGGAGGGGAGGGGAGGGGAGGGGAGGGGAGGGGAGGGAGGGGAGGGGAGGGGAGGGGATGGGAGGGGAGGGGAGGGGAGGGGAGGGGAGGGGAGGGGAGGGGAGGGGAGGGGAGGGAAGGGGAGGGGAGGGGACGGGGAGGGGGACGGGAGGGGAGGAGGGAGGGGAGGGGAGGGGAGGGGAGGGGAGGGGAGGGGAGGGGAGGGGAGGGGGAGGGGAGGGAGGGGAGGGGAGGGGAGGGTAGGGGAGGGGAGGGAGGAGGGGACGGGAGGGGACGGGGAGGGGAGGGAGGGGAGGGGAGGGGAGGGGAGGGGAGGGGAGGGGAGGGGAGGGGAGGGGAGGGGAGGGGAGGGGAGGGGAGGGAGGGGAGGGGAGGGGAGGGGAGGGGAGGGGAGGGGAGGGGAGGGGGAGGGAGGGGAGGGGAGGGGAGGGGAGGGGAGGGGAGGGGAGGGGAGGGAGGGGAGGGGAGGGGAGGGGAGGGGAGGGGAGGGGAGGGGAGGGAGGGGAGGGGAGGGGAGGGGAGGGACGGGGAGGGACGGGAGGGGAGGGGAGGGGAGGGGAGGGGAGGGGAGGGGAGGGGAGGGGAGGGGAGGGGAGGGGAGGGGAGGGGAGGGGAGGGGAGGGGAGGGTAGGGGAGGGGACGGGGAGGGGACGGGAGGGGACGGGAGGGGAGGGGAGGGGAGGGGAGGGGAGGGAGGGGAGGGGAGGGGAGGGGAGGGGAGGGGAGGGGAGGGGAGGGGAGGGGAGGGGAGGGGAGGGATGGGAGGGGAGGGGAGGGGAGGGGAGGGGAGGGGAGGGGAGGGGAGGGTAGGGGAGGGGACGGGGAGGGGACGGGACGGGATGGGACGTGTGAAACTTTGAAATGTCTGGAATCACACCTGTGGTCGAGTAGAGGGCCGTGGGAGTTGTGATGACAGGGGTCGGCAGCAAAGAAGCACGCCACCCACACACACACCATTCGAGGTGTCTCAAAACCCACCCACGCAACCCCCCCCACCCTCCTCCACCCCCCCCTCTCCCCCCCCCCCCCCCGCCCCACCCACGCACCTGTGGTCGAGCAGTGGCCCGTGCGACGTGTGGCGGAAGGGGTCGGCAGCAAAGAAGCGCGCCACCTTGGCCTCCGCCTGCGCCAGCAGATGCAGCCCGTACGCCTCCCTCACCTGCACGTACTGGGGGTCGCTGGGACACAGGGGGCGGCGGGGCGCGGAATGGGGGACGGGGGAACGGGGAGGGGACTCTTGAGTCGACTCACAAGTCGCCTCCGCCTGTGCCAGCAGATGCAGCCCGTATGCCTCCCTCACCTGCACGTACTGGGGATCGCTGGAGGAGGGGGGGGGGGTGGGGGGGGGAGGAGGAGCGGAAAACGGTGGAAACAGGAAGGGTAAGGGGAAGGCGAAGGGATAAGGGGAACGGGAAGTGTTCTGATTTGATAAAAGAAGCAGACTAGATTATCTGTGTGGATGGACGTATACAGGGTCCCTGTGGTTTGGTTTGGGGAGGGTGATGGAGGGTGGAGTGGATGGCTAAGAGGGCAGAGGGGTTGAAGGAAGAGGCCTTTTGAGGAGTGGGATTTGGGGGAGGGGGTTTGGGGTTGAGCACGAAAGTTGGGAGACACTTTTTAGTTTTTTTTTTTTAATGGAGGTAATCCCCCCCCCTTCCGCTTGGGAGGGAGGGAGGGATGGCAGAGAAGAGCAGAAAGAGAGACGGGAGGTGGAGGGTAGGCAGGTGCGGTAAACTGTTGGAAAGAAATAGCTGAATCGGTTGAAATTGGTAGTGGAGGGGCGAACAGCAGCGGCAGCGGCAGCAGCAGCAGCAGCGTACGTACTCGGAGAGCAAGGGCAGCACGGGCTGCGGCACGTAGTCATGCCAGTCTACCACTCCCGCTCTGAACCGCTGCACTATGTACGGCACCTCGTACCCCCCCTGCTCCTCCGCCTTCCCCTCCTCCCCTGCCCCCACACGCTCCCCCACACCGGCCCCCCATGCCTTTCCCACACCAGCACCACCCCCGCCACCATTCACACCCAGCTTCCCAGCCTCTCCCCGTTCCCCCCCTGCAGCAGCCGCCGCAGCCGCAGCAGCAGCAGCAGCAGCAGCAGTATCCCCATGATCAGCTGCCCCCCCCGCCGCCTGCTTGCGCCCATCCGCGGCTCCCCCGCCAATCCTGGCGCGCCTGGCGCCCTCCGCCTTCCCCCCACCCGCCACGGCTGCGCCCTGCGCGCCTTCCCCTCCAGGCGGAGTGCCCACAGCATGGCGCGCCAAGGGCGGTGCCCTGCTGCCCGCACACGAAGGAAGGGGAGGGGCAGTAACGGGAGGGGGGTGCGGGGTTACGTACGAAGAGGGGAGCGAGTGAGAACGAGTGATGGCGCAAGAGAGAACGAGAGAGAGATGAGAGTGTGACAAAGTGAGGGAAAGGGAGACAGAAAGAGAGAGATACGTGGACAGACAGAGGATCTAAACAATCAAGGCAACCGATACAATCAACTATCCGCACCGGGTGACAGACTCACCCCAATCCGCTCTTCCCACGTGGCAGCGTCCCCGTATCCAGCGCCGATCGCCCTCTCGCCTCCGCGTCCCCGTCATGTCCGCCGGCCGCAGCCTTGGCGGATCCTGCGGAGTGGCTGCGCGCGCCGTGCTTAGCGTGAGACGCGGCGGCTTTATTATGCGCGACGGACGGCGGCCCGCCGGGCAAGAGCGGAGAGTGCGCGTTTGCCTGCGCCGCTGTGTGCGACTGCGCGGCGGGGTGCGAGTGAGTGCGAGAGTGGCTGCCGAAGAGCCGCCCCCACACGTAGAAATAGAATAGTAATATCCCGATGATCCAGAGCACGTGCTCCGCTTTTAACGGCCCGAACAGGCGCTCCTCGGCGGCGGGCCGCGATCGGCGCAACGGAGCGTGAGTGTGAGAGTGAGGAGGTGGCGCGTGCGCGTGCGGGTGGATCTGTGAGTGGGAGAGCGGATGGGAGTGGGAGTGTGCGTGAGCGGCGGAGCGCGTTCCGTAGATCGATCCTGACGACACCATCGTGGCTCTTTGCACGAACGAGGACTGTCGATCAAGGTGTAGCGAAAGGTATTTGTTTCCAAATCGACGAAGCGAGGCGATCAGCGATGCATCGGAAAACCGTTGCGTCGCCTCCTCGCGAAGCAACGATATGCAAGGCCTCCTCCCTCCTCCTAGACCTCCGCGTCAGGAATCACATGCTTGCTCCACCAGCGTCACACGAGGCAGCATCATGCGCTGGGATGCGGTTCGGTTCCATGCGATGTGATGCGAGCCATTCCTCCACCCAGCTTTGGGCGTGAATCCAAGCCTTTGCTTTGCGTCGACTCTGCTGACAAGGACCAAATTCCATCTTGCTGAATCACCGACTCAACAGGCGTTGACCAGCCTGTTGCATCTTCTGTAATGTAGTGCTGTTTCAATGTTTCCGAACCATCATGGGTTGTGGCTCCAACTTAGGCCGTGTTCGCGGGAGCAAAACCGTGTCACGTTGTTCCAAAACAATTTCGTTTTGTTCGATCTTTCCGAAATGTGACACCAAGAAGGAGAACCAAGGTGAAACACAGCCCGTCGGACATGGTAAAATTCAGCAACAAAAGTCGCTCGTCAGAGCACTTCCGGTCCGTCAACCTCCCGCGGAATGGGCGGGTGGGACGTTCATCGAGGCTGGCGGATCGCCTTGCGGCGTACACGTCCGGCCAGTATTCACGCTCTGGGCTGGAAGTCTCGGCTCATCATCCGAGTGGATGACTAGGGCCGTTGTACAGAGGTACAACGAATTGTACGAACTATAGAACAGATCCTGTTCAAGTATAGTCGTGCTTGAGTAGGTCAACTGAAAAAAATCAATAGTGTCATTCTTTGTCCCAAAGAACTTCATGGCATTTTCTATCCACGTGGAGCTTACTCCGTCTGGACGTGCAAGTAGTACTGCTGCTGAGCTGCATCCCCTTGGCACATCAAAATGAGGGGGGATGCTCACACTTGCACTCGCACACCGTTGTTCTCTCGCATCACCTCACCAACTTAGGTGAGTCCTGGCCGAGCCAACCACGCAGAGAATTCGAGCAAGCATTCAGAGAGTGACGCGCTGTCGCATTCGCGAACTCATGCATTGCGACCCACAATTATAGCCGAATGCTTCATCTGCTTTATCGGAAGTTAGCAGCTCAACTGTAAACGATGCGTGCAAGTGAAGCAATTTGAACCATTCCGTGCCGCCGACGATGGCGCGGCGAACTCAGGTTGCCGCTCTCTCCCGCTATGCGCGTCGTAACCGTCAATTGCCGTTGAAATTATGCCTCCTAGCGGTGCTTCTAGCGGTAACAACAGCAACTACAGCAGTAGCTGAAACGGTGCTGCAGACAGCAGACGCTCACGCAAATCGGAGCAGCCGCGGAGAATTCCGAAATCTTTCCAACGGAGGCGATGAGAACGAATGCGCTTATGACGAGGGGGAGAGCGGAGAGGGAGGAGCGGAGATCGGGTGCGGTGGGCGGAAGGGGGGGAGCAGGAGGGAGCTGCAAGCGAAATACGCAATTCAAGAGGCGCTTCTCGTTGTAAGCCTGGGCGGAACGTCGCGATGTAGTCGCGCTTGCGAATCGCACCGTTCAGTCACGGGCATCGAAGCAAAAGTCACGAAAGGGAGCAACCGCCAGACACCCTAGAAGCGCGCTAGGCCGTCCATCCTATATTTGAGGCGCCTAAAAAAATAGACATCCGTAAAGCGCGCTACGGAAGCCCTCCCTCCTGCTCGCGGCCCACCCATGGAGCCATCCTCCCGTTCTTCCTGCGCCCGCTTTTCGTTCCTGTCCCCCTCCTGCTGTCCTCCACCACCATTTCGTCGTCCTTACCTTTCTTCCTACACGATTGTATTCTTTCCCTACTCTCACCTCCCTTTCTTTCTTCTCCTCGCCTCTCCTCGACTCCCCTCCCCTCCCCTTCCTCAGATATGGTCGGAGCAATACCACCTCTCCCCGTCCCCCTCCTCTGCTCCGCCATTCCTCCGCCTCCCGACCTCATTCGCCCTCCTCTCCTCCCCTCCCCCGCCAACCACCACCGCCGCAGCATCCGCGCTTCTCTCCGCCTTCCCCTTCCCCCCATCCCTTCCCCCGCCCTCCCCGCCCCACCTGGAGGACTGCCTTGCGCGCACGTCCGCGCGCCTGCGCCTGGAGATGCAGGGAATTGCGGGGGAGGGAACCAGCGGTGGGGGGAAGGGGCCGTCCTGGTTGGGAGGGGAATGGTATCGGGAGCCCAAGGGTGCGAGTGCAGGAGAGACGGGTAGGGAAGGGGAGGGGGGGGGATGGGGAGTGCAGAAGCAGGCGCGGGGTCGGCGGTTGTTTGGTCCAGAGGGGATGGAGGGCGCAGGTGGGGGTGGCGAAGGGGCAGGCGAAGAGGAAGGCGAAAGGGAAGGCGAGGAAAGTGGAGGAGAGGGAGGGGGAGGAGAAAAAAAGGGAGGGGGTGGATCGGGTGGTGTGAGGAGGAAGATGAGGAAGCGAGGAGGGTGGCAGGAGGTGTTGAGTGCCGGATCCGTAGGCGCGCGTGTGAAGACCATGCCCCGCCCACCCTGGGTGAGTGAGAGCCCGCCTCACACGCACGCGGCACGCATCGCTTGGCATGTGGGAGAAGGCATGGGTGGGAGGGAGGTTGGGAGGGAGGCAGGCACACATGCCATCAGCCTTGAGCAATGAGCACTACCAGCCTGCACACGTCTTTCCTTTCCTCTTCTCCTCGTGTGATGAGTCGATTTTTGAGTCGACTCAACAATCGACTCATCAGGGTGGGAGGGTGGGAGGCACACATGGCATCAGCCTTGAGCCTTACCAGCCTGCGCACGTCTTTCCTTTCCTCGTCTCCTCTCGCGCCCCCTTCCAGAAAGCTCTGTGCTCTCTTCAACATGGTTCCTCATCTCTTCTTCACCTTGCGTGCACACAACCGCACCGCACTGCACCGCACCTCTCTGCCTGCCACCATCGCTGTTCCCGTCACTGCCTACCCTTTCACTCTACCTATCCCTCTCTCTCCCAGTCTCTTACCATTTCTCCCGCTCTCTCCCCCTCGCCCCCCCACTTTCCCCGTATCTCTCCACCCTCGCTCCCCCTTCACCCCATCTCCTGACTCAGGTGCGTGGACCAGACACCTCGCTCCTGCCCTTCACCCGCATAGCTCAGCGGGACATCTGGCTCCACCAATTCCCCCCCTCCTCCTGCTCCCTCCCACCCACCGCTCCCTCCTTCGCTCCCCCTCCTCGCCCCCCTCGCTTCCTGCTCCTGCCCTGGCCTCAACCCAACGCGCAAGGAGAGGAAACTGCAGCAGCAGCAGCGGCAGCTGCAGCAGCAGGGGGGGCGGAGAGCAGTGGAGCAGGGGGAGCAGGAGGGCGAGTGGAAGAGGAGGAGGTGGCATCCGGGGTGGTGGCAGTGGCAGCAGCGCTGGCAGTGGGGCTGGCCACGGGGCGAATAGTTGTGCCTGTGGACCAGGGCAGAGCGCTGTTAGGGGGTCAGGGGGAACAGGGGAGTGGAACAGTTGCTACCCAACTCTGTGAAGGTGCAGGGCAGGTGAGGCGAAAGGTGAGGGGAAGGTGCGGGGAAGGTAGGAATGGGGAGAGTTGGGGGAGCAGGGTAGGATCAGGGAGGGTGGGAACCAGAAGGCAGGGTGGCTGGTGAGGAGGAGGTAGGATGGGGAAGGGTCGGATGGAATATCATGCAGAGTGGCTGATGCTAGTCGGAATTTTTAATTTCTCTGTTAACTGCTCTCATCGCTTTTCTCTTCCCCTGTTACCCTGCATGCCTTCATACCAGCTGAAACCCCAACCTGACTCTTCCCAATCTCCCCCCACCCACCCCGAACTTATCTCCTTTGTTTTCTGTTTTTTTTTGTTTTTTCCTTTCTTTCTGTTGCATATCCATTCTCTTCTTCTTTTTTCGAATCTTGCACTTCCATCACCGTCTCCTCGCTCCTTTCACTCCCCTCTCTCCTTGTCTCCACGCCACGCCCCTTGCTTTGAGTGGCATCATCAGGCGTCATTCCACTGCCTCTTCTTCCCACTCACGTCCGCTGCGTGTCAATCGTCAGCCCTCCATCTCGCCGCCTCCGCCAATCCCAACCGTCCATCGGCCCCAGCCACCCTGGAGAAGCAGCTACTGTCAGACGACCCCGTCGTGTGGTTACCACCTGAATTCGTAACCGCTGCAGCCGGAGACTCCGCTGGGAACGCAGCACAAGCCGGGGGGGAGAGCGCATCACGAGAAGGGGGAGCGGGAGGAGTGGGAGGGGCGCGGAACGGAGTTTGGATGTGGGGGTACCTGCCGCGGCTTGTTGGTACGAGCAGAGGCAAGCTGGTGCTCGCACACCTCGCTCAGCGCATAGCCAAGGCTAAGTCAGCCCCTTCCTTCCCTCCTTCCTTCCCTCCTTCCTTCCCTCCTTCCTTCCCTCCTTCCTTCCCTCCTTCCTTCCCTCCTTCCCTCCCTCCTTCCTTCCCTCCTTCCTTCCCTCCTTCCTTCCCTCCTTCCCTCCCTCCTTCCCTCCCTCCTTCCCTCCCTCCTTCCTTCCCTCCTTCCTTCCCTCCTTCCTTCCCTCCTTCCTTCCCTCCTTCCTTCCCTCCTTCCTTCCCTCCTTCCTTCCCTCCTTCCTTCCCTCCTTCCTTCCCTCCTTCCTTCCCTCCTTCCTTCCCTCCTTCCTTCCCTCCTTCCTTCCCTCCTTCCTTCCCTCCTTCCTTCCCTCCTTCCTTCCCTCCTTCCTTCCCTCCTTCCTTCCCTCCTTCCTTCCCTCCTTCCTTCCCTCCTTCCTTCCCTCCTTCCTTCCCTCCTTCCTTCCCTCCTTCCTTCCCTCCTTCCTTCCCTCCTTCCTTCCCTCCTTCCTTCCCTCCTTCCTTCCCTCCTTCCTTCCCTCCTTCCTTCCCTCCTTCCTTCCCTCCTTCCTTCCCTCCTTCCTTCCCTCCTTCCTTCCCTCCTTCCTTCCCTCCTTCCTTCCTCCTTCCTTCCCTCCTTCCTTCCCTCCTTCCTTCCCTCCTTCCTTCCCTCCTTCCTTCCCTCCTTCCTTCCCTCCTTCCTTCCCTCCTTCCTTCCCTCCTTCCTTCCCTCCTTCCTTCCCTCCTTCCTTCCCTCCTTCCTTCCCTCCTTCCTTCCCTCCTTCCTTCCCTCCTTCCTTCCTTCCTCCTCCGCTCCTCCACTTCTTGCCGCTGCCTCCCTGTTCACATCGTTACTCCCATTCAATCTCTCTACCCGTTTCCGTGCTTCTGCAATACCACTTCTCTCCCTCCTCCACTTTTCCCCGCCCTGCCCCCACCATGCCTCCAACTGGGACCTCCTGTCCTTTCCCTTCTCCCTCTTCTTCCCCATGCCCTGCCACCATCAGGGGGTGGGACCGGCCCTGGGCGCAGGGCATAGCCAATGTGTCAAACGCAGACGCCTCTATCAAGGTACTACGCCCTCCCTCTCTCTCTCCCTCTCCTCCCCATGGCACCACTTTGCGTTTGCGTTTAGTCTAGTTCAACTGTCAGGCGCCTCGACGACAGACCCTGCCTTCCCGCTCCACATGTGTTGAGGCGGTTATTAGAGGCGCCTCAAAGGTTGTTTTTCCATTAACCTACTCTGCGTTCCCTCTTCCCCTCTTTCCAGGGGGGTAACCAGCAGCCATCCATCCATGTCAAGCGTCTATCATTGGGACTCTGCTACTGCGCCTCCCCCATGTGTCTCACTGCCTTGCCCACTGTGTCTCTGTCACTACACTCTCCTCCTCCGCCCTCCGTCCTGTCCCCTCCCCCTCTCCCCATCCCCCGCACAGCACCGGTGGTTGTTGGCGCAGCTGCAGCGCTTCCTACTACGGTGGCCCTCCCTGCACAGCACACATGCCATCTCGCCAACACCGTGCGCCACCACGCCCTGGGGGACCACGTCTCGCTGCGCTGCAACTTGCCTCCTCCTACTCCGCCCTCCTCTCCCTCCCAAAGTCTAACTCTCCCGCTCTGCCCTCCACCCTCTGCCCTCCGCCCTCCCCCTCCCCCTCCCTCTCCCCTTCCCCATCTCCCTCCCCCTCCCCGTCTCCCTCCCCCTCTCCCTCTCCCTCCCCCTCCCACCATCACCTACAGCACCGGTGGTTGTTGGCGCAGCTGCTGCGCTTCGTGCTGCGGTGGCCCTCTCTACACACATGCCATCTCGCCAACACCGCGCGCCACCACGCCCTGGGGAACCACGTGTCGCTGCAGCTCGCCTCCTCCTACTCCGCCCTCCTCTCCCTCCCCGAAACCAATTCTCCTGAATTTGCCGCGGATGCTGCTGCTGCTGCCGCTGCTGCTGCTGGTGCTGCTGAAAACGGTGCTTATTCCGGTCCTAATGGTGCTGCGACACTTGGTGGGGCATCCAGCGTTGACGATTCAGCAGCTACTGGCATCAGCAGCAGCGGCAGCGGAGGAGCAGCAGTGGCGGGTGAAGCAGCGGGTATGCGCAAGGCTGGGGGGGGAGCAGACGAGGGATGGGGCAGGGGCGAGGATGAGTGGAGCGAGGAGTACGAGTCACCGTGGCTTTCTGCGAAAGAGAGCACTGCGGGTGAGGTACTGGCAGAAAAGCAGGCACCACAGCAGCAGCAGCAGCAGCAGGAGGTGATAGAGAGAGGCACATTGGAATTCAGTGCACCAGCCCGACGAGCAGCGGAAGTACAGCCATTAGCCGCTGCAGACCCAACTTCCACAGCACAGGCTATTTCCACAGCACAACCACACCCCACCTCATCACCTCAACAAACCTTGTCACCTCAACCCATCTCCTCACAAGTACCAGCCCATGCAGCAGCAGCCCGCGCCCTGAGCGAGCAGCCTCTACTGGAAGGGCTACCATTCAAGGAGCTCTATGCCATGCACTCCTTCTCCCTCTTCCCCGCCTCCTCCCTCCACTCCTCCCTCTGGGCGTGGGACGACGCGGGCGGACCAGAGCCGTACCTGCCCCGCCCCATCGCCAGCGTGCACGTAGGGAGGGCTTCAGAAGGAGGGACGGGTGAAGAGGGTTCAGGAGGGCAAGGTGTGGCGGTGGGTGGTGGGGAGGAGGGTGCGGCGGCAGGGTGGCTGGTGCAGGTGCAGCAGCAGCGGCTGAGAGTGCCGAATCTGAAGACTCTGTGGATGTCCATACCAGGGGAATGCCAGGTGAGGGGGAGCAGAGCATGGCGCACTGCACCCAACCATGTTCTCCCCTGCCTTGTTCCTGCACCCATGCTCTCAATCCCCGGCTCACTGGGCCCCCATGGTCCCCCCTTGGCCTCCCCTTTGCCCGCCAGTCCGCCAGTCCGCCAGCCCACCAGCCCACCAGCCCCTCCTACAAGGGATCCCCCTCTGGGGACGGCACTCCACATTCGAAAGCGTTACCATCCGCCGTTTTCATTCCACCCTCTTGTTGGTTAAGTTCCTTCTTTGCCTGTCCATGTGTCTCTCTCACTCCCTACCCCCATCTCATTTGCAGCTGGTGACCTCTCTGCCCGGGTAGTGGACCTGCATGGCCCCATCTACCTTCTGAGTCAACTCAAAACTCATCAATCGAATACCTGCCGGCCTGTCCCATCCCATTTCATCCCAATCGCAGCTGGTGACCTCTCTGCCCAGGGGTTGGACCTGCACGGCTCCACCCATCCCAACCAATCCAGCCGTCTCCGCTACAACAGAGCCTGCTGCTGCTGCTGCTGGTGCTGCTGCTAATGCCAGTGCTGCTGCGACTGCCCAAACAGTGGCATCTCTATTGATAGCTGGGAGGTGCGATGTGCATGTGGATGGCGGTGGTGGGGTAGCAGCAGGGCAGCAGCAGCAGGTTGTGGGGCAAGCGGACATGGATGTGTGCTTAGGTGGGTCTAAGAGTTCCTCTTGCTGGTCGCGTGTTGTGGAATTGTTGGTGACAACCAATGGTAGGAGTGGCAGTGATGGTTGGAGCTGGTTCTGATTCGATCTTGATTGTGCACTTAATTCTCGTATTCTTTGAGTGTAAATATTTCTGTGATATTCAGGCTAAACAAACGAAAAGTGAACAGATGTAGCTGGCATTGGTGCAGCAGAATTACTTGCAGCATAAGCCTTTACACTACAGTAATTCAAACGGAACGCCACCGACGTCAATAGCAATAAGCTACTCAAATCTACTCTTAGCGAAATAGACATTCTTCCTATGTTTGCGGCGACATCACTCGCCTACTCCGAGGTAATACATGCGAACCACCTTCTTAGCAGGTAATCTATGCTTGTTCGACGCTGGCGCACCTATCTATTGATTGTGGGGCCTATCTCTTGAGTGCTCCCTGCTAGCTGCTGGGCAGGGCTCTATGTTCTTTGATTGGCCGTCTTGTGCCTCTCACCGCGCGTGACACGCGCTGCGTCAGGTGAACTCCGTCCCGTTCCTTGTTGGCCGAGCGTACTCGGTTTGAACGCCCGCCAGCGTTTGCCAGCGAACGAGTACCAGAGCGTACTTGGGCGGAGGGAGATGCTCTGTAGTGAGTCTGTGCGTGCCAGAGAATTTCGCCACGTCTTGCCGTGCCGTACTGCGGCGCACTGTACCGTTCTGTACCGCACTTGAACGTGTTGTGTACCGTGCTTACATCTCTTGGCCGTCCTCACCTACTCTTGTAACGCCCGCGGGCTTGCACGAAGGGGAGAAGTGCATCGTCCGCTGCGCCTCCAACCCTCCTCCGTTTTGAACCACTGGGTAGCGAAGCGAGGCGTTATACCGGCGCACGCACGCACGCACGTCACCCCTCAGGTTGTCGCCATGGCAGCCCCCTCCCAGGATCATCATGCTGCTTCTACAATCACTCACAAGCATCAACATCAGCATCAGCATCAGCATCAGCATGAGCAACAACATGATCGTCAGATTCATCAGATTCATCGATGTTACCACGCGTCAGCCATCGCGAGCGTGTGCGAGCAGCTCTACTCTCGCGACCTTCGTCAAACGCACCCCTTCGCCGACCTCGTTCACAGCCACACGCGCCTGCAGTCGCAGGCCGCCACGTGGCAGCGCCAGAGCGAGGCGGAGCGGGTGCGCGCGGCGAGCCTGCAGGAGGAGAAGGCGGCGCTGCTGGCGCAGCTCATGGCGCTTAACGAATCCACCGCCACTGTACGCGTTACAAGCGCAATTCGCAGTTCTTCCATCTCACCCCGTGAATCCATCTCCTCCCCCTTTACCCACTCTATCGACCAGTATTCTCGTTATCTCCCCACTCTCCTCTCATTCACCTCCCCACCAGACATCTCATTCCCTCTCCCCTGCCTCCCATCTCCCTAACGCCACATGTTCCCTCATCCCTGTGGTTCCCCTCCCTCTCCTCTCCTCCTCGCCTCCCCCTTCCCCGCCTCCTCCCTTCCTCCCTCCTCTCCTCCTCCTCTCCCCCCCTCCCCTGCCGACAGTCGGAGCAAGTCACATCGCTGCAGCAGCGAGTGGAGCAGCTATCAGCGGACGTGGCAGCGAGTGGGCGCACGGCAGTGCAGGCGAGTGGCGAGCTGGTGACGGCCGTGGCGGCGGTGGCGGCACTGAGGGACGACGCGGGCATCAAGGCGGAGCGCATCCGCGCGCTGGAGGAGGAGCTGCGCGCCGCCCTGTGCGTGGGGAGTGGTGGGAGAGAGAGGGGGGGGTAGGGGAAGGGAGAGAAAAGCGGGAGTGGGGGTTGAGGGATGGGAATGACTGATGGGAGACGGGGGGTCGGGTAGGGAATGAGTGATGGCTTGTAGCGTGTAGCGAAACGTGGCGGCGGTGGTGGCGGTGGCGGCGCGTGGCATCCGCGCTCTGGAGGTGACTTTTGAGTCGACTCAAAAGTCACCTCGCTCTGGAGGAGGAGCTGCGCGTTGCCCTGTGCGTGGGGAGTGGTGGGGGGTGTTGGAGAAGGGGAGGAAGGGGGATGGGGCATGCAGTGCTGACAGAGTGGGCAGTCCCGTCCCGGGCCATCAATGGCAGACGGGGGAGCGAGGGAGGAGGAGAGAGGGGGGGGTTGGTTGGTTGGTTGGTTGGTTGGTTGGTTGGTTGGTTGGTTGGTTGGTTGGTTGGTTGGTTGGTTGGTTGGTTGGTTGGTTGGGACTTTCTGGTGCTCCTGCTCCTCACCCTTTCTTTTGCTCGTTCTCCCGTGTGGCTTGGCATGTAATCGGCGTGCCACGGCATGACCGCCACGGCACAACGCACGGTGCGACACGGCATGGGCATGGTTTCCACAGCGAGGCAGTGCAGGAGCTGCGGGGAGCGGTGCAGCACAAGGAGGCAGGCAGCCATCAAGCTGGCGGCAGCAGAGGCAACAGCGCACTTGCTTGTGACTCTCCTCCCTCCCTGACCTTCCCTATTCTCGTTCCCCTGTGTGCTTTGACATGAAACCCGTGTGGCATGGCATGGGTATGGTTCCCACAGCGAGGCAGTGCAGGAGCTGCGGGGCGCGGTGCAGCACAAGGAGGCGGCCATCGAGCTGGCGGCAGCAGAGGCAGCGGCGTGCCGGGCGGAGGTGCGGGCAGCGGAGGAGAGGGCGGCGGGCGTGGAACGCGAGAACCGCATGCTGGTGGACCGATGGACGCACCTCAAGCTGCACCAGGCTGACACACTCAATGAGGTGCGGAACAGGGGGGGAAGGGGGGAGTGGGGGGGGGTGAGAGGGGGAGGGGGTGGGTGACAGTGGGACGGCGTGACAGGGAACTGGGGTAACAGGGGAAGGGGGGGGGGGGGAACAGGGGGAGGGGATGGCATAGCATCGGGCCCACGCCCGGAAGGAGGTGCGGGCAGCGGAGGAGAGGGCGGCAAGCGTGGAAGGCGTGCTGGTGAATCGATGGACGCACCTCAAGCTGCACCAGGCTGACACACTCAACGAGGTGTGGGGCAGGGGAATGATGGAGGAGGGGAAGGGGTAGGGATATCGTGGTAAGGTTATCGTGATGTAGAGGGATGGGATGGGATGGGATGGGATGGAATGGGATGGGATGGGATGGGATGGGATAGGACGGGATGGAATGGGATGGGATCATACTTATACAGGGAGGGGGAATACAACGTGCGCACCAACCCCTTTGCACACTGCCCACAATGCTCACACGCGTGCACCTGAACTCTCTCTCGCAGGCGAATCAGCTGTACGAGAATCTCGAGAATTTGGTGGAGCGCACGCGCGCCTCCTCCCACTTTCTGAGGCGCCTAGAAAGCCTACCCACCTAACCACTGCAAATGCCACACATGCCATGGCCTCCCCCTCTCCTGCAGGCGAATCAGCTGTACGAGGACCTGGTGGAGCGCACGCGTGCCTCCTCGCGCTCCCTGCAGCACCTCGCCGCCCAACAACCCCTCGGCATCCTCCAGCTCGCCGAGCCCGGCGTCTCCCCACGCCTCGTCTCCACGCACGCCCCCTCACGCGCCCTGCGCTCGCACCGCTGCCACGACTCCGCCTGCTGCTCCCTCGCCATGAGCGCTGCGGGCCACCGTGTGATCACGGGAGGGGAGGACGGTGCAGTGAAGGTGTGGGATGCGCACAGGAGCGCGCTGCTGGATACGGCTAGAGGGTGCCTGGGGGCGGTTATGGACCTGGCTGTGCTCGGGAGCGGCGGTGGGGGGGGAGGGGGAGGGGGAGGGGGAGCGGACGGCAGGAGGCGCAGCAGTGGTGTTGGTGGTGGTGGTGCAGATTTGGCCCCGTCGGCCCACCACGGGTTTTCTGCGCTGCTGGCGGCGTCCTCGGACCACAAGCTGTACCTATGGGATGCTGCCACGTGGCAGCTGAGGCACACTCTGACAGGGCACACGGACAAGGTGGTAGCAGTGGACGTGGACGAACACAGAGGGGGAGGCGGCGCAGGCACAACTGGGGGTGGCGCAACCGGGGGAGGCGGCATCTCGAGCAGCAGCAGCAGTGGCGGCGGCGGCGGCATTAGCAGCAGTGCACGGGCCATCAGTGCGGCGTACGATCGCAGCATGAAGCTATGGGACCTGGAGCGCGGGTTCGCCACAGTCACCATCCTCTGCCACAGCAACTGCAACGCGCTGCGCTTCGCCCCGGGGGGTCTCTCCGCGCTCTGCTCAGGCCATGCCGACGGGCACCTGCGCATGTGGGACGTGCGCTCGGGGAAGCTAGCCAACGAAGTGGCAGCTCACGCCGCAGCCATCACCTCCCTCGCGCTCTCCTCCTCGTCTGTCTCCGCTCGTCACAGCGGCGGCGGCGCGTCCGCAGCGAGTATCTACGACTTGGTGACGTGTGGGAGAGACAACATTCTCCGCGTGTTTGACCTGCGCGCGCTGGCAGCGAAGCAGGTGCTGAGGGGTCCGCATGCGTTCAGAGTGGCGTCCAACTGGAGCCGTGCGTGTGTGAGTCCCACGGACGAGTACGTGGCAGCTGGCAGCATGGATGGGTCGGTGGTCGTGTGGAGCAGACGCACTGCTGCTGTGGAGCGCCACCTGAGGCCCGCGCCGGCCTTGGCTTCAGGTGCCGGTTCAGGTGCTGGTTCAGGTGGCTCTGCTGGCTTGGCCTCGGGGGCTGCTGGTGCTGCTGCAGCGCCTATCTTGACGAGTGTGTGGGGAAGCTGTGGGTTGCCTCTGGTCACTGGGGACAGGGCTGGTGTGGTCACCACGTGGGAGTGAGTGATGTATACTGGCTTGTGCACTTCGTAAAAGCTTGTACATAGTAGATTTGGCAGAAATGGTGGGAAAGGAAACTATTAAGCTGATTAGTGAGTGGGGCAGCCCCCATCAGTCAGGGGTGCGTCAAAGTACATATATTGTTGTGTAGGTTGTAGTGGGGTACTCATTAGTGAGTACAACCCTTTTAGGGTTGCACATTTGTACTCCTCACTCTGTTAGTGAACACCATTCCTGTCGCTCGTCTCCTGTTCTCAGCTCCAGTTGTGAGGCTGAGATATACGCGGGGGCCATGGCTGCACAGGAGTTACGCTGGCTGACCTACTTGCTGACATCTTGGGTGAGCGGCCTCATTCTACTCCGGTTCTGTACGTCGACAACAAGGCCTCGATTGCCTTGTGTCGGGAGCAGAGACTGGAGCACAGAATGAAGCACATTGCTCTTCGTTACTTCATCGCTCGAGAGTTACAGCTGCGTGGTCAGCTTCGCCTTGCTTACATGGTCTCTCGGGCCAACACTGCTGATATTTTCACCAAGGCACTTGTGTCTGATGATCATCAACGTTTCTGCACTACTCTAGGCCTAGTGCCTACTTTTCCTCACTTGCTTACTGCTTGAGTTTGCCTTGTACTATGATATATATATATATATATATATGCATGCTTATTCTTGCTAGGTTGCGATCACTGTAATGCTTGTGTTTTTTATAACTCTGCATGTGAACTGGCCTTGCTTGTGCTCAGACTGCGTGGCGATCTTGAGATCCACCATGAGCTTTGCTTTGCTTTGCTTCTTTGCTTGACTGGTCTTGTGACCGTTGGTTGTTTTTGCTATCCCCCACTTTGCCTATGGGGGTGTGTCAAAGTACATATATTGTTGTGTAGGCTGTACTGGGGTACTCATTAGTGAGTACAACCCTTTTAGGGTTGCACATTTGTACTCCTCACTCTGTTAGTGAACACCATCCTTGTCAACGGGAGTTGTGTGTTGGCCCCGTCCTCGCTTGGGCGGAGCCGACTTCGTGGTCGGGTGTGAGGGGAGCAGCCGACCTGCAGCAGTGGGCGAGCTGGTTGACGAGGAGGTCGACCTGCACGGGGGCCACTGCACGGGCGTTGACTTCAGGGAGGTCGACCTGGGAAGTCGACCTGCGGAGGACGTCAACTTGGTGACGTCAACTTGGGGCAGCCGACTTGGGTGGTCGGCTGACAAGACTGCTGGTCGACCTGGTGGTTGGTCGACCAGGCCTGCTGGTCGACTCGGTGGTGGTCGACCAGGCGTGATGTCGACCTGGTGGTCGACGAAGGAGGGGCCGGCGTCGACCTCGACTCAGGACGCCGAGCAGTTGGGCGTCGAGTAGTAGGGCGTCAACTTGGTGACGCCGACTTCGGGTAGCCGACTTGGGTGGTCGGCTGACAACTGCGCTGGTCGACATGGAGCTGGTCGACCAGGGGTGTGGTCGACCTGGTGAGGTCGACTTGGGGTGGTCGTCGACTTGGGAGGTCGACGGGCACATACAGGAGCAGCTGGTCGACGTGGTTGCCCGGTCGACCAGGTTACCTGGGTGAAGAGGTTCTGCGGAGGAGTGCGACGGTCGCCCAGGCGCAGTTGGCGAGTCCGACCTCGGTGGTGGTATCCCGAGGTCGACGTGGCTGATCAGATGCAGTCGTCAGCGCCAGGTTGACTTGGTGTGTGCGCTGTGCAGGTGACAAGGCTCAGCACGCCAATCATCTGCGAGCACCTGCGAAGCTGGTGCGATGCTGTACTGCGGGAGCAACGCTGGCACGTCGTCAACCTGCATTGTTGGCACGCCGTCGACTTTGCACTGCTGGAGCGCGGTCGACCAAGTCGTGCTGGAACGCGGTCGACCATGCTGTGCTGGCAGTCGACCGACCTGAATGCTAGCTCTGATGTAGTCTTGCCATTCCAACTTCTTTGTACCATTGTTGTCACCTTTCTCTAGTGAAACTCTTGCCAACTTGCCCCGTGAACTAGCAAGCAGTGTGTGTACTAGGAAAACGACTAAGGACCAACGAACCTAGAGATCACACGAGCACCCGTGCCTAGCCCGTAGTCTAGCTCCCGTTGTAGCAGTTATCTCCGCATGGTGCGGTGAGCGTGGACGGCACACGACTTACCTTTCAGTCAGGTCGACGTAGACATCACTTACCTAATTTGTTGTTGTAGGCCGGCAGCTGTGCGGTAGTCACTATGGTAGGAGCCGTAGGTGACGCAGGGGTGGTGGACACCCTGGAGGCACGGCTGGAGAACGCGAGGAGAAAGCACGAGGCCAACGAGTTTGGCGACCTGCCTTGGGCGGTCGTCGAGGCTGGACTCCGCACCATGTGGGCGACGGAGCACCCTTCTCGACCTGCCTCTCCTCGACCGGTACACGACGAAGGCGGCGTCGACGTGGGCGTCAACGCTGGTGGTGGTCAAGTCGGCAGCAGTGCGGGAGGCACGTCAAGGCAGCGAGGTGTGATTCACGCCGATGAAGTCGGCGGCCTTCAGGCGCGAGGGGTGCGGTCGTCGGCGGCTGCAGGGTCCTCGCAGGGCGACGTCGGAGGTCGACGAAGCGGATTGTCGCCGATGTCGGCGACCCAGGTGACGGCGGGCGGGATTGCACCGAGCTACGGCTACTTCAAGTTTACGCCGGACAGGATCTTGGTCACCCCGCCGCTCGTTGGTCGACCAGACATTCTCACCTGGAAGGAAGCTATCGAGCCCCAGCTGGAGATGGCCGGGCTGATCGGCTTCGCCCGAGGGACCGTGGCGACGCCGGAGGAGCACCACGCCGACTTACGAGCGGAGTTTCGCGCCGTGCAGCTATTGACCTTCACGGTCATCTCGCGGTGCTGCTCGCCAGGTGTGCAGATCGCCCTGAAGTGGTGCCGAGAGTACCTCGATGCCGGCCACCGGGCGTGGCACTTCATTGAGTCGACCTACCAAGTCACCGACGACTTGTTCATCGCCCAGCTGGAGGGGCAGCTGACGCACCTGCGTATGGGCAACGAGGAGACAGCGACCAACTACTGCAACCGAGCCCGGCGAATTCTCGCCACCATAAGGATGGCCGGCGCGCAGTACTCGACGGCGTCGTACGTCACCCACGTCATACAGGGAATCTCGAGCAGCTACAACCTCCTAAAGCGGCTGTCGATGGCGCCGAGCACAAGGACGACGCTCAACGAGGACAGCTTGACCTCGTACATCCTGCAGGACGAGGCGATGCAGGAGGCAGAGCGGTCCCAGGAGCTCTTGGCGCAGGCGAACTTTGTCGCCCCGGCGAAGCAAGGAGGTCGACCGGGGCAGCGTGGACCGTCTGGCGGCGGTGGTAGCAGTGGCTGGAAGCCGACCAAGGAAGTCGACAAGAGGAAGTCGACCAAGGACAGCGGTCGAGGAGGAGGAGGTCGACGTCGGGAGTGCTGGCTATGCGGCGACCCCGACCACCTCTCCTTCGAGTGCCCCGACCGTAGTGACTCCGACGACGACGACGCCAAGGGAGGCCGCGGGAGGTCTGGCAGTCGTCGTCCTCGTCGAGGAGGAAACAAGCCGCGCAAGGAGAAGCAGTCGACGACGTCGACCTCGGCGAAGGACGCCGACTCTTCTGCTGGCGGCAAGGGGCGGGACGATAAGACGGCGTCGTACTCGCTGGTCGGCGTCGTGGAGCCGACTGTCTCACTGGCGCCAGAGGCCGGGGAGGACTTCCAGGCAGTGGCGGCAGCTGTGCAGGCGAACCCGGCGGTGGTCCTGCTCGACAGCGGCTGCTCCCACCACCTGATGGGGACGAAGGAAGTCTTCGTCGACTTGCAGCCGAGCGGCTCCATCAAGCACGTGCGCGGCTTCAATGGGGCGCTGCAGGACGTCCAGGGTCGCGGCACCGTCGCCCTGCAAGGGGAGGCCGGGAAGCAGGTGCTCATCCCCGACGTGCTGTACGTCCCGGGTGTGCGGGCCAACCTGCTGTCGTCTGGCCAACTAAAGGAGCACGGCGTGAAGCTGCAGGAGGACGGCGACGGGATGCTGCTCGTCTCGGCAGCGGGAGAGGTGCTCGGTCGGGCGACGTACTCCGGGCGTGTCCTCTGCACCGACCTGCGTCCCTGCTCAACGAGGCCGACGTCGCCCATGGCGGAGGTTGTGGCCCTGCGGGCGATCGTCTCGAAGACGAAGTCGACGCCGGACAGGATGCATGCGAGGCTTGCACATGTCGGCATGGACACCATACGGAGCTCGGCGAAGCACGAGGTCGCCACTGGGCTGGACCTCAAGTCGGCGACGGGCGCCGACTCACCGTGTGTCTCGTGCGTCGGCGGGAAGCTGGCGCGGCACACCTTCCCCGACCAAGGCTCCGACGCCGACGACGTGCTGGCCGTCGTGCACATCGACCTGTGCGGGCCATTCCGCGTGGCTGCCAAGGACGGCAGCTTGTACTTCTTGCTGCTCAAGGACCGCAAGACCCGCTTCGTGTGGGTGAGGCCGGTCGCCAAGAAGTCGGATGTGCTGCTGGAGTTCCAGAAGTGGCTGGTGTTGGTGGAGAGGCAGACGACGAAGTCGGTGCTCATGCTTCGCTCCGACCGAGGAGGGGAGTTCCTCGGGAAGAAGTTCACCGACTTCGTGGACGGAAAGGGGATCGTCCACGACCTTACCTGCCCGTACACCCCGCAGCAGAACGGCATGGCGGAGCGGGAGATGAGGACGGTGGTGGAGTCGGTGCGGACGATGCTGTTGCACATGGGCGTGCAGCACCACTGGTGGCACCTCGCTCTGCGGCAGGCCGTCTGGGTCCGCAACTCCCTTGAGAGGTCGACGCTGCCGCCGGGGACGACGCCGTACCAGCTGCTCACCGGGACGAAGCCCGACTTGTCGCTGGCGCGGGTGTGGGGCTGCATGGCACAGTTCCTGGTCCCCGAGCAGCAGCGTGGCGGAAAGCTGAAGCCGAAGGCCAGGTGGGGCCTTCACCTCGACGTGTCGGCGGAGAGCAAGGGCTGGGAGCTCCTCGACATCGACGC